ATAGTAATCGTTGGATGGATATCCAAACGAGCTCTCTTAGAGACATAAAGTCCCCTTGCAACAGTAGTATGAAAGATTTGACGGTACTCAGCATTGAGTAACTTTCCTTTCCCAGCCTCCAGTAAATTGTTACCAGCTGGTGTTTCCTGCTTTGAATCCTTGTTGAACTTGATAGGAAAATCTTCCAACATGTTCTTGACATAGTCGTCCATGCGGATTTTGAGTTTTCCTTTCACGGAGAAATCCAAAGTCATTCCAAGATATCTGTGTATCTTTCCTCTGACGATTTTACATGCCTGGATCGAACCATATCTCATGTTCAACCACTTAGCAAATTTGTCATTTACTTTTGGATCCATGTGACTTGACACAAGATCGTCAACATGAAACCTGATAGTTTGCTGCTTTTCATCAATAACTTTGTTAGCAACACACGGGTCATACGTATTGAAAACAAATCCCTTTGCCTCCAAATCACTTCGAAACTGATTATAGAATAGGAGGCTCGATTGGAACATCCCATATATAGCACGCAGTACCCGCACATAGATTACTCGCTTTCCGTTCTCTAATACAACGTATTCCCGATACTCTGGGGCCATGTCAATCAATATCTGGACCATCATGCCAGTGATTTTCATGTAGATACAATCTTCTCCTTCCTTAGCTTCAGGCATATAAATTTGAATGAAAGCGTTAGGCACGTCCAGCGCCATTATATCTCTACCTTCGTGTGCATCAATAACACAAGTAGTGGTGATTGCTTCTTGCAAAGCAGTTGGACTTGCAGTGTCCTCTTGCAATAACCATTCACGAGTTCCATCGCCTCGGTATACTAGGCGACCTTTAATTGTCTTTTTGAATTGCTTTTCCGCGAGTAACATCATCGCTGATTGGGCCTTCTTTCGCTCAGACGCGGTCATATCTTTCACAAATTCGGGAGTAAAACAATCTCTCAGGAGCATTTGTCTCAATTCCTTATCCACAGCATCCTTTCCATCGTCACCGAACTTCTTCAGTCCTTGATTGATGTAATACTGTTGAATGAAGT